GCCGGCTCCCGGCCTTGGATCTGCTGGAGGTGAGGTCTCAGGGGCTGCAGCGCTCACAACCCCGCGGAGAGGACACCCTCGCGCTCACCAGAAGCGCAGGAGAATCAGGGGATCCTCCAGAATCTTATAAAGTAGTTCACTTTGAAGAGAAAAACCTAATTTTTTAAAATTAACTTTATCATTTGTGTAACATTAAACAGAAGAAGGACAGCCTACACTATGTTGGGCTAAAACACTTCTTAAAACCTTACAATCTGTCAATGGCAATATTGCTGTATTCAGTGATGGCTGATTCAGAAAGTCTTTGGTAACCTGTCTCGGGCAATAGCCAAGCATATAGATAAATTTTAAGTTGTCCAGATTGGGATTTTCACATTAAAACTTAAGGCAAACAGCCACATCGCATGCCTATTCCAGGCGCAGTGCAAGTACAGAGCTTGGTGCAGTTTGCTCATATTCTGTGTGGTATTATAGAATAGACAAATAACAGGGAGAAGGAAATGTTCATTTTATCTTCCACGAAGGCATTAATCCTGGTTAATCAGAAATGCCGTCCTTGATGCATGCGTGTCATCTGACTGAACCACTGTAATAGAAAGTTCCCAGGCAGACTGAATTCTATCTCAGTCCCACTGACTTACTCAGAGATTTCTAAACTAAGTGAGTCATATCCTCATACAAGGATGGTGACTTAGCACAGTGGAGGCCATTAAATGAAGAATTTACAAAACATTTATATTTAATTTTACCCATTTTGTATTCAAAATATCTATATATAAAAATTATTATTGTTTATTGTTATTGTTGCTATACCTATTTCCTTGTGAGCACACTGAAGGTCAGAAAGGATTTTTTAATTTAAATTTTAAACGGTAGGTAAACACAAGAACTTCAGCATTTTTTAAAAATCCTCGCCTGAGGATATTTTTTTATTGATGTGTGTGTGTGTGTGTGTGTGAGAGAGAGAGAGAGAGAGAGAGAGAGAGAGAGAGAGAAACATCGATGTGAGAGAGTTGCTTCCCCTACAGCCCAAGCAGGGATCAATCCCGCATAGGTGCCCTGACTGGGAATTGAACCTGCCGCCTTTCGGTGTACAGGACAACACTCAACCAACTGAGCCACACCAGCCAGAGCAGAACTGTAGCATTTTTAATAACATTCATTGTCTTATCATATCTCAAAATACAACTTATTTAAAATGAGCATTCATGCCCTGACCAGTTTGGCTCAGTGGCTAGAGCATCGGCCTGTGGGCTGAAGAGTCCCAGGTTGGATTCCTGTCAAGGGCATGTACCTTGGTTGCAGGCACATCCCCAGTAGGAGGTGTGCAGGAGGCAGCTGATGGATGTTTCTCTCTCATGGATGTTTCTAACTCTCTATCCCTCTCCCTTCCTCTCTGTAAAAAATCAATAAAATATATTTTAAAAAAATAAAAATAAAATGAGCATTCATTAGCACCAAATAAATGTTAAAATGATTTATAATGCAAATCTTAGGATGTATTCAAATAATTTCTTTTTATTTTCATCCTCACCTTTCCCTTTCCCCCCAGTATCAGTAAACTACATTTTATATCCAATGGCCAAGAACAAGGTCTGCCATAAATATAAACTCTATCATTTCCTTACTTATAAAAATTAATCTGATAGGTGAATGTTTTTAGAGGGAGAGGAGAAATGTATGCAGTTGATTTACTTAATAATCTACTTGGCAATAAAATGATGCTAGGTGACTTCTGTCTTTATCCACTTAGGGAATCTGTTCACATAAGAGTCCAGAGACATGAGGAATTGGGGTTTTCTTTCAGAGACATTGAGAGTAACGTTTTGTCTATACCTTTCACTTTCTCAAACACATTCTGTAGATATCTAAGATATTTTTTATTAACAATTTTAATGTTGACTTTATTGCAGGTGTTCCCCTTCCCCTCTTTTCCCCACATACATTTGTGGCAGAACGTAGTTCTTTATTAAAATATGCAAATGTCAGAATTATCAATTTGGAAAATAGTTAAATTGGTAGATATCATAGGAATTAACTTAAACTTTTGTATATTCTATTGTTATAGAGGGAAACTGATTATATTATTTGAAATTCATGAGAAAATTCAACAATAGCCTATATATGTTTTTTATTAAGAGAGATCCATGTCTTCTATACTTTATCTTAATAATAGTTAGTGATTTCCAATAGTTCCTAAAGAGATGTTCATGGTTTGTCCCCATTTTGTCAAAAGCAGTTCTGATATCAAACTCACACCTGCTTGTATTTCTCTTTTATTTCCAGGGGGCGAGAGGAACCTTGAGCCGGTATGTTTACTTTCTGAAGCAGAGCATGGTTGGGAGAGGCCAAGGAGGTTGGTGGATGTTAAAAACTGTGGGTTCTGTCTCTTCTCAGAAGTAAGAGTGTCACACAGCTGGAACCGGAGACCATCCCCCTGGAGCTGAGGACCATGTGTCGAATCCCTGGGATGAGAGACATGTTGAGGAAGTTCCAAGGTGGGTTGCACCTTAGAGTTTGGAGGGCAGGGTGTTTGGAGTCTGGCTGCTTACTGGAGCAGTCAGGCACCTTAACAAGCAAAACCCAAAGTTTCGTGACTAAAGTCAGCACAGTTTTATTTTGAGGTCATGCTATTGGTTTATTACTGGACTAGAGGCCCCGTGTGTGAAATTTGTGCACAGGTAGGGTCCCTAGGCTTGGCTGGTGATCAGGGCTGCCCTGTGGGTGACTGGCAGGGTGATCGGGGGCCCCTGCTGGCACCGCCTTGGCTGGCCTGGCGCTGCCTGCTTGCTGGCCCCGTCCCCTGCCACTGCTGGTTGCCTCCCTCTGCGGAGCAATCAGGGGACCCCCACTGGCACCTGCTTTGGCTGGCCTGGGGCCTGTGGGCTGTGGGCAGCTCCTGCGTTGAGTGTTTGCTCCCTGGTGGTCAGTGCACATCATAGCGACCGGTCGTTCCACCGTTCAGTCTATTTGCATATTAGGCTTTTATTATATAGGATTGTGGAGGGTTTGGTTTCACATCATCTCATTCTGGGGCCCTTGCAGACAGAGCCCACCTCCTTTGTATTGCTGGTAGCCATGGAGAGGGCGAGGTTATGGTGAACCAGGCACTGCTCCTGAAGGTACACATGCTGAGGTGGTGCATGTGGCTTCCCCGACGATGTTATTCATGAAAATGTGTCCCATGGCAATGCCAGACTGTAAGGGGATGGGAGACAGCACCGTGCCCAGAGGGAAGAAGACGGGAATGTGGGTGAACAGTCTTGATGCCAATATACACTGCATTTGGTTAAAATAGTGGCTCAGTAGCTGTGATGGCAGTAACATTTGTTTCAATAAATCTGCATTTTCTTGTTTATAAAATACTAAAACAGTAAAATTTGAAGGACTAGATGAAACATATTTAAAGACAGAAAAAAAATCAATATAAAAGCATTGCAGAGGATCAAATAATAAGTTTGGCTTATTTTATTATCCGTCAGTTTGATGAGTTGCTTAAGTTAGAGAATTAATAAAGTAAAAAATATTTAGTCAATTATTTTTAGGTAGGAATAACCGTAGTGTCATAAATTAGTTGGTTTGGCCTGATTATGTTATTCTTTACAACAATACAGATTCAATTTTTATTTTTTAAAAAATCCTCACCCAAGTGAGGATATTTTTTTCATTGATTTTTAGAGAGTGGAAGAGAGGGGGAGGGAGAGAGAGAGAGAAAAAAAACTTTGATGTGAAAGAGACACATCGATTGGTTGCCTCCTGCTTGCACCCTGACTGGAGTTGGGGATTGAACCTGCAACCCTGTAACTGAGGTATGTGCCCTTGAACCCGAGACACGTTGGTCTGAGGGCTGACACCCTAACCACTGAGAAAACTGGTCAGGCCAGATTTAATTTTTAAAATTCTTTTTAAATACAACTTATACCAATAATGAAAATACATTATGACTAGATAGTGGTTTCACTACTTAATTGGAAACAGTCTTGTCCCATAGTGATTGCTGGGGAGGAGGAGGGGTAGGGAGGGCTAGAGGAGGGTATAGGGAAGATAAATAGTGATGGACTGAGATTTGACTTGGGGTGGTGAACACACAATATAGTGTACAGATGATGTGTTGTAGAATTGTGCACTTGAGGCCTGTATAATTTTGTTAACCAGTGTCACCCAATGTATTCAATAAAGAGGGGAAAAAAGACATAGATATTCCTGGATCATAGAAAATAGAACATATTATTGAATGAAGGAAGAAAGCTATAAAAATATAAAATCATATAAAATTAATTCCATTTATGCAAAATACATATACACAGAAGTATAATAACGCTTATCTATGAGAGATGGGATTTATTGTGATTTTTACTTTATTCTTTATATTTTTAATATTATTTGAAATTTTTATTATAAAAAA